CACTTTTGTCATATAAAGGTTTATTTTTCTTTATAAGACTTGTATGAACGGGATACAAAACATATCTATACCTGTTCCTAATTTCATCAAAATATCTTGAAAATTGTGATCTATAGGCTGAACACAAGTATGCGTGGACAGTCACTGGACGGAGCTTAAATTGATTCAGAAAATGATTCTATCTCATTCGGGATAGTTAAAGGTGGGTCTATTTAAAGTCCCTCTTGGTGTTACAAACATCCTTGCGCAATTTGAATATACCGTATACTGTAGTTGGTGTAGGATATAAAAAGGAAAAATTGAGTGGTCTAATTCTTAAGTTTTATTTTCTTTTTTTTAAAGAGTAATCAATGTTTTGATTGAAAAACGTGACGACTACGTACAGTTTAATGTAATAGACTAAGTCTATGTGGGATTTTTATTTAAAAGAAATTTAAAAAAAATTTTTTTTTTTGTTTAAAGTGAAGTGTTAAAAAACTTCCGGGTAATGATATTTTCAACTTTAATTCAAAAAGAAAAATGGAAATCGTGATCTCTTAAGTGGCCACGTCTTTTATGAACCGTGCATATCAAATTAGATGAGCAGAAGAAGAGCAATAAACATTAAACACTACATTTGTTGTCATTTGAACAATTGCTATATTGTAATGTATTTACGTATGACACGTAAATGTACGCATATATTGTCTAAACGTACAAAAGTATTTAAGTGGGTCAGGCCAACTAAATGACATGTTAAATGTTTAGCTGCAGTCTGTTCTTGTTCACCTAGCCCTGACGTGAGCAACTGCTGCTTTTAAGGTAAATTCCAAAACGCAAGACTGCGTTTGTATGCGCACTTGAGTGCCTACGTACATTTATATATTGTGTTGACGACTGCTTGGTTTGAAAAATCTATAAATTATGCATTAAATGAATTTATCATTGCAGGGAAGAGTTGGGCTAACTGCGAATATGCAAGCAGTCAAATAATAGTGTTGTGAACATAAGTTTTCTTAAATGCTTTAAATTTGTTTCTATTCTTTGTTATAATTATTTCATCTTACTTTTTATTTTTTTTTACTTTAATCAATATTTTTGTATTAATTATTGAAACGATGCGGCGGCATTTCTTTAGATATGAGAAAAAACAAAAAGAGCAACAGCAATAATTGTTAAACGGCGTTGTGATATTGGAGGGTAAGGTTGCTAATGTCATTTTACAAGTTGTCAAACACCGTCATTTAACTGACAATCGAGCTTGTAAACTTTAAGCGTAGTTTTGAAATTTAACCATTGACTGACTGACTTTTGGTATTATTATTAACGATGTGTACGTCACGTCAATGAGCCGATGCGTCGTTCCGATGTCTTCCATTGTTACAGACTGTGCGTACATGCACGCGTTCGTTTGTATGGCTTTATTCATTTACAGAAGAGGATCCTGTTTTGCACTTTACAATCTTGAGCTTGGACAAGTGAAATTTATGGAATTCGGTTTGATAAACCAACCGATATTAAATTCGCTTAGATTTTCATTCTTACAAAAAAAAAAAAACGATTGAGTTAAGCTGTTTATTAAGCTTGCTATCTATGTTTTGTTTTTTATATTTTTCTTTGCTTTTCAATTTTTTTCATTTACGAGTGAATTTTGACTTTTTCGTATATTGAATGAATGCTTTCTGTTGCGTTTTCAAACGGCGGCACTGATATTCTGCAAATGAGATATAGTTTAGTGTATTGCTTACGTTATTTGATATCTTTAATTGGGCTCATAACAAATACCAATAACAACAATATCGACACCACTTTGAACCGCCAAAACAAGCCATTTGTCAGTGACTTAAAGTTTGTTGATATAAGAACATACAGTTAGTCAAACACAGTCACATTTAATGAAGAGAGTCGATCGGTCAGTTGGCTAGCTAAACAGTTTGGCAGTTAGTTAAAACCAGAACTTAGTAAGTCACTATCACATATACATCGATATACGTATTCGCATTCACTTGCCTCACTCGCACAATCACCTGCATATTTATATGTATCTACCTTGCTGACCGACTACCTTTTTATATATATGTATTATATTTCTATACAGATGAACAATATTCGGACTTGGACAGGTGGAAAGGCATAATTGTAATTGACTTTGTGGCTCCATAAAAATGACTGATGAGGGTTATATTTTGTTTCGTGTTTTTTTTTTTTTTTTTGCTTTTTTCGTCTTAAATGTGGCACGTTCGTTATGATAGTATGAATGAAAATGTTTGCGCAAATATATATAAATATATATATATATATATATATATATACATATGGGTACGTTCGAATACATGCACTCTTTTGTGGCACCTCCAACAGATGGTTTTTCAATATCGCATATTATTCATATTATGTATTAAGTTATTAAAATATTTTCTTGCGTTCATCTGTACGTTTATCTGTCTTGTTGTTTCGTATTTTGTGTGCTTGTTAAAATATCAATGAACAATTCACACATTTTCATTATGTTTCTGATGTTTGCAGACGATCAGAGATAAATGCGAGCATATATAAATACCTCGTTATAATGTTTATGCGTGCATATAAAAGCCCAGTAAAGCTTGAGATTTAAATGCATAAACTTTATACTGTATGGTGTTAATATTTAGTTAATTTCTTTAATAAAATTAAACATTGTCCACTTTAAAGGGTTATAAACTTTATGAATACGAAATATTGTAAAATATATACTGTTTAATTAGTGTATGTGGTACGAATGTGCATTTCTTCATTTGATTTTAAGGGCGATTTTAAGGGAAGGTAAATGCTTGAATTTAAAATAATTGTATGAAATTTAAGGCTTAATTATTAATTTTATGATGTGTTCACATACAGTACAGGGATCCTGCAAAGAAAGAAGAAAGAAAATAAAAAGGTTTATATTAATACTTCTCATAGCATATGAATAAATTAATCGTAAATATTATAACATACACCAACAAAAAAAAAAAAATTAAAGAAATTTATATCTGCCCATTATATCATATGCGCATATAACATGCAAAAATCTGTAGATGTTTGTAATCATTTATATTTTTCTCCATGTAAGCGTATACATTTCTCCCAGCTCCACGCTCCGTCCCTTTAGCATGTCCACATTAGTTTTTTTGCAAAATAATTATCTCGTCCTATTTGACGAAAATCTTTGTTTCCGAATGAATTTAATTTAACAAAAATTTGGTACATGGGCCTAGACCCGTTGACTAAACAGGGTTCTATCGTAATATGAAAATATTTTCAATTATTATAAAATTTGGATTCGAATACGTTTTTGTTTCAATGTGAGCAAAGGCGGCACCCAACATGCTGTCAGCTTTTTTAGGCTTCAACAAATGCGTTTTGTGGATACGCCTTTACTATCTAATTCGACGATCATCCAGCATCATTTAGTAAATATTAGACATGTTTTCTTTAGAGGTTACGGCTTTTGCCATCTCTAACATTAATCGTCACTTGAGCTGATCGAAACACGTTTGATTTACGCAATAAATGACGCTGCAAATTCGTGGTATATACAACTCGTCTTCAATTTGTTTGGGCGTATTGCCTTTCAGACCCATTATTTCATTTTTTCTATATTCACAAACACGGTTCTATCGAATAACTCAAACAATTATTTAAAAAAACTGCGCATGCTAAATGTCTGAAATTATCCAATTTGAATACACGAATCGGCTGCCATTTTCAATATTCAGGCCGGAGACTTTACATACAACCTACGTGTTGCTTGAGTGGTTTAGCGATATTGCGATTGTAAGATAGAGTGAAAATGTATTCGCGATATATCGATCATATATCGTATAAGTTTCACATTGTACTCTTGCACTGTTTGGCAACGCTTTATACTTAATTATATAAACTAAAACCTATAGTTAATCATGTGTAAATATCTGTGAATCCCATTGGTCCGAATCAGCTGAAATTTTGGAATTTGTCGTAAAAATTGAACTTAGAGCTGTAAATGCAAAGACTGTTGCGTTTTAATGCTTGTGGAAGCTCCCCAATTTGGTGACAGTAAGGGTAACACAATAATATTTTAAAAGGAGCATTTTTTTAGATGAATTTTAGGGACCGTGGTTTCAATAGCTGGGTGAACGAAGACTGAGAAATGTGTTTGAATATATACCTGTTTTTGCATTAACCACAAATCCATACATCTCAAAAAATAAGGAGAAGTAGTTCGTTCTCTTTGTAGATTACAATTGGAAAAGTTTTTCATTATCTATTCGATTTTAATAAGACACAGGCACAGATTAATTTTCAATAATTATTTCACAGTATTAATCAATATTGTACAGTGCTAGTTGGTTACTTTTTCTAAAATACTCAAAAAGTTGGTGGATGCAATATTTAGAGTTCGCAATTATCGCCTTGAGCGTACCTTGACCAAGGTAGAAAGGAAGGGATTAAAAACATAATAGAACAAGTAGGAAACTTATAGCCGGTCGTGACCGAATTTTTTATACCGATTGTCGCTATCCCAAAAAGACAAAAGAAGCACATGAACGGGAGAATATTTACTGCAGATACTGCACATTCAGGCAAACGGATAGACGAACAGTTTTAGGAGAGTTTCATGTTTGAAACTGAATAACACTTTATATACTTTATGCGCTTTTTGAAGTCTGTTTCTGCGCAAAAGTATTTAAAACAAAATTAAATTTTGATACACTACAATATTGGGTAGGCGTGGTCATTTCTTTTATTTTTTTCGATTTTTCTACTGCTACCAGAACATCGCCCATAAAATATATGTTCAACTTTTTGTACATTTATCTGCTATAGTATGTGAGTAATGAGCAAAAAACAATTTTTTTTGCTCTTTGCAAAACATAGTTTACGTGCAAGAATTTCCAGTATTTCTGGTAAAGTTGATGTCGATAGCGCCACTTTTGTGGTCAGGAGAATGTTTACAGCAGACATTACACAGAGGGACATGCTTAGATCTGTGCACAATTTGACGCTGATCAAGAACGTATGTACTTTGCGGGGTGTTTAAAGTTTCCTTCTGGGCTTTGAAAACTTTTTGACAAAATGGATATACCCCTCATCCTTCGGCGATCAGTATAAAATATATGATCAAAGTCAATTGCTTTTAATAAAAATATACGTAATGTATGGATTCATACTTCTATATAAAACAAATATTTGACAATGTATGCCGTCGTTTGTGGAAATTATAGGAATTGCTTGACGATTTTCGCGCTTACTTCTTTCCATTATTTTCTTACACTGAAATTTCTTTTAAACGAATTCATTATCCATTAATTGAGGATATATGTTTGCACCGGCTATTATCTGTATATGAACGGTATTTGAAGGAAATGTAAATATTTGTACGCCATTGTGTTCGTGTTTTCGCAAAATACATTTACTATCAATTTAAAATTAATACGTGAAAACGAGAGTTCATTTTCACCACCTGGATCATGAAAACGTATTGTAAAACTCCTAAGAACACAATGAAACGAATCCTTTCCAGTGAATTATTTAAGTTGAATGTTTCGGATAATGATTTCTCTTGTTTTCAGAAGAAACTCATCAGTAATCGACAAAATACTCAAAAAGTTCGGGTACCTTGAAAAAAAAACATAGTACCGAAAAACACAAGGCACTTGGTAGCAATTTGTGAAATGAATGTTAAATGAAAACCTGCGGGTGGTTTGTTGCGATGCACTTGCCACCAGCGCGTTGCCAAACATGGTCAATGCAAAAGATAGCACAACTAAATATTCCCTCAATGGTATATATATAATTTTTTTTGCTGTTGTTTGTTTTTTTTTACCCCATCCTGAATGGAATTGATTGGGATGCCAGCCACAAACAAAAGCTGTGGTATATTCATATGCATGGGAGTATTGCGCAGCATATAGTACGTTTCGATTACTGATTTAATTGCTTGACTAATTGAGAGATTTTCGTTTTTGTCTTCGCCGCACAATACCCGAACGTAATACAAGTATTGAAACTGTTCACAAAAATAGTGATGATCTCCCGAAGCGTATGCCACGTATATGGAAACGAGAGTGACAGGCGTAATGACTTGATTTTCATGGTGTATTCTAAATAACTACAACCGCAAGCATACATATTCACGTCAACTCATAAAAAGCAAAAAAATACACACAAATGCGCACGTACATGCGCAAACTCAAGGGCTTGCATAGAATCACGGAAAACGAATAAATGTGCGGCAAATGATTTTAATGCCACGATTAAGCCAAATTGAAGGCAAGTGCATTGTTTCGCTTGACGCCAATAATGTTGCTCGATTGGCGGCTTGTTGGCGACAATGAGAGTATCATGACAATCAAAAACGAATACTTTTGGACTGTATATACATGTGTAAGCAGCGATTGCAAAGGAGTAGGAGGCGGTGAACTGAATAGGCAACAGTTTAGTTTTATATAATCAATACGGAATTAATTAACTGCAAGGAGGCGCAACCTCACAAGTTGTCGAGACATTATTTCATTGTCATTGTTGTACATAAAATCAGAGTTTGACTCCGGTTTATTTATTTATTTTTTATTTTCAGGGAGTTGATGTCTTGTTAGACACGACGAGGACACACAGAAGCGTATGCGAGGATGTTTGTTAGCAATCTAGTGTAGCTTGAATCTTGGTTAGTTTGAAAATTTTTCCCAAAATAAGGAATATAAAAAAAGGTAGGAAAAAATAAAAAATGGTAAAAAGCTGATAAAGAATAATGAAACTATTTAAGAAATCCATTGAGTTATGTGCAACTGCACAGTGCTTTCATTATGAGAAACTTTAAATAAAAAATTTTTATTAAAAGAATTCTATATAATAATGACTTTGAAGAAAACATAAGCCATTGCTGGAATGTTAAGAAACTTTTAATTTGATTTTTAATAAAATTTATGGAATGATTTTGTACATCCATTGAGTGTGGTAGTGAAACACGGTGATCGTGTATTGTCAATTACAAGATCCTATGCATGTATTCTTGAATAGACAACGGGTCATAAGATCTCATTGTAATAAAGCATGCAATCATCAATGGAACATTGCAAATGATCATGTAACACGGTCATTGTTGACTGTCTTTTTTTGCATACAGTGGCGCCATATACTACTGATGACAAGGCTTATGCAAATGCCCGTTTTTTGTTCTTGTCCCAAATAATCGTCTGCATGCACAACACTAAAACGGTGCACTGTTACTTTGTCAAGTCATTTGTAACACGTATTTTTGTGCCCTTTGATTCATCGATATCATTTTAGCTGTAGTTGTTTCGTTGACTCTTAAAATATATTTGTATTAAGTTCAAAGTTGTCGGCGTCTTGATAGACGGATCAAGTCAGTTTTCATGTTAAAGTTTCAAATGGTTCTTGCAAATGTTAGAACAAACTAATATTTACGTGTGAGCTATAAATCGCAAGTTATACTTTACTGTTTATTGTGGATGTGCTTGCATACGGATTTCGCACTTTTTCTGTGATACAAATAATAGCTTTCTATATTTATCTTTCTGCCTGAAGACATAGACATAATTTAGAGTCTCTAATACAAAGAAAGGAGAGGACGGACGGGCAAACAAACATGGCTAAGTTAATTCACAATTCAATTTACGATATTGGATCTTTGTTGCTTACCATAGACCAGGAACTAAGTACATATGCGAAGTTTTAACTTTCAAGCGTAATTATTTGTCTTAGAATCCTATGATGATTTTTCTTGGATAATTTCCGTTAAATGTCTCCATATACTAGTAATAGAAGAATAAATTAATTTTCCTTTCCCGAATGTTGAAAGGGGAAATTTTTTTTCAAACGTTTACAACTAGTTTGCACGCTTTGCTGATTCATGTGAAATCGGGC